GTGAGTGGCCGGGCATTCCCCTCATGAGTCAGGCGGCCTGGGGGCAGGGAGTGCAGGGGCGGGGGTGCGCAGGACCCCATGGGCGGGGCCAAGCAGCTATCTGGAGCATGTGGGTGGCCACCTGCAGAGGGAGGTGGGCAGGGCCAGCTGGCTGTGACAGGGAGCAAAGCCAGAGTTTGCTGTTGTCCAGAACTTTCCTGCCTCAAGGGACCTGCCTTCCCATTCCATAGGACAAAGCAGCTAGAGGCCTTGGAGCCGCTTGGGGTGGACCAGGCCTGTGAATGCCGAGACCAAGGCCAGGTGGGCCTGGGGGGTCCTTGGCCCATAGACACCACCCTCTCCAGCTGATTGTCCTCCTGGGGACCCCCAAGGGCAGAGGAGCCACCCACAAAGGCCTGGGTTAGGAAGCAAAGGGACAAAATCAGGGCCTCCTGTGCCCCCACCTTCCCCTTCATTCTGCTATCAGACCCCAGAGCACTGCTGGCGGGTGGGGAGGCTCGTGCTGACCTTCACAGATGGCTAAGCGTGTGGCCTCCAAAACCCTTCCCAACTGGAGATTACTCTAGATTCACAGGTGTGTAGACATCAGGACAGGGCACGGCAGTGAAGAGCATGCATGTTTCATTAACTCAGGGTTCGGATCCCAGCTGTGTCCCTGACACCCGTGGCCTTGGCCAAGCCACTTCCTCCCTGTGCCTCCATCTCCTCATCTGTAACACAGGGATATTCAGGCCTGCTTCACAGCGTTCTTGTGAGGGTCTGATACAGACCCTCAGCGTGGTGCCTGCCGCATAGTAAGTGCTCAGCAAAGAGGAGCCACTAAGGGTAATATCGTTAGGAAGCAGAGACAAATCCTGGGCACCGTATGCTGTTAAGAGCCAGCCACTGCCCAGCGCCGTGCCCCCTGGTTATCAGAACGGGGCGGGGTGGGGCACGCGGGACCTGCTCCCTGCAAGGAGGCAAAGTCTGCCTGGGTGGTGGCTGTCAGCTCCGCCCCCGGGGGGGGTAGATGGGAGGGGCTTTGTCCCCAGCATCCGGGGTGGCAGCTGAGAGCCCTGCCCGCCAGAGAACTGTTCAGGGGAAGGCGGGCAGGAATGTGGGCTCGGTGCCAGGGCGCACAGCCTCCCTCCAGTGCTGGAGCAAAGTACTGAGCTCCCAGCCTGCGAGCTTTGTTGCCAGTCCCGCCCAATGGAATCGGCCCTCCCAGGAGAGCCCCAGGCCAGGCTCCCAGCCCAGTGTCCCCCCACCCTGTAAGCTTGAGAATTCAAGACCCTCTATGGGCCCTGGAAGAGGAAGGAGGCAGACAGACAGGAAGGAGGAAAGCCTCCCGCTTTCAGGATCCTGCAGCCCACCAGCTGTGTGACCCTGGGCTGGTTGCTGCCTACTCTGTGCCCCAGTTTCCCCTACACAACCTGAAGCAGATAGACCAGGCTGTGCAGACACATCTTGTGTACTGACTCTCTTTTCCTGGTCCCTCTGAGCCACCTGCACCCTCAGTTCCAGCTCAGGGAGAGAGCCGATGGATGAGAGGGTGTCCCCCAGCCAGGGGGCATCGCCTGTGTTGCCAGTCATCCACCTGCTGGTGGCACGGTGACAGCCCCCTCCCCTTTGTCCCTTCCTTCCTGTGAGAGGAAGGACAGAGTAACCCAGGGCTGAGGCTCCTCTCTCCCTCTGCCCAGTGAGGGAGCGAAAGCCTCCGTCCTGTCTGACCACCTCCCTACGTGGTGGGATCTTGCAGTCGGACCTAGTGGGGGAAGCAGTGGGAGCCTCAGAGGCAGGGGAGGCACGTGGTGGGGGGGGGCCCAGATCATCTTGCCCACCCCCTGCCTCCAGACCAGCATGCCGCAAGCATTTCCTCGCAGCCATGCACCATCCAGACCTGTGCCCAAGGGAGAAGCTCTTGTATTTTTTTACCATTTTCATTCTTACCAGCCCCGTTTTTATGTTACATATGCAAAGTACTTAATGTATCTGACACATAAAAGTCCTCAGTGGCCACTTGTACAATGAAATTAGCCGGCTTTAAGCATCTGGTATGGACTAGGCATTTGATGTTCATCTTCTCATTTAATCTTTAATCCTAAAGGTAAGGTAGTAATAACAATGCTTCTATTATTATTACTGTCGTTGTTATTGCCCATCGGCTCTATTCAGGTGCTTGCCGTGGGCCAGGCTCTATGCTAGGAACCTACTTGGATTGTCTCTGTGCCTTTGTCCTGACATGGGTCCTTTGATCTCCTGGATGTAAATGGGGACATCGGGGTTTGTGGGGTCAGGGGACTTGACCAGGGTCAGCCAGCCAGCCAAGTGGCAGATCTGGGGTTTAGATCCCAGTCAGTCTCAGCAGAGTTGATGTGGACATAGAACCTTCAAGGCCATCTTGGGTCACATTCACCCTGGCACCTGTCTGGTCCAGTGACCCGGAGCCCACCTGCCTCAGAGCCCCGGGCACATGGTATAAGCCTGCTGCCCACAGGCCCGAGGGTCACAGCCTCACCCCGGTGTCTCCTCCTCAGGGGGACCCAACTCCTACCTAGCCCCTGGCCTCTCCCTGACCTCTGTCACCTCCTCCTGGTGATTGATCTGCTGGCAGTATGGCCAGTCCCTGCATTGTCCCCTTGGGGGCCAGAGCTTGTCCGGGACAGAGTCCAGACCCAGTAATTGATTGACCTTTGATTGATGCAGGCAGCGGTTCAAGCCGCAGCCTAGCCAGGCCCGGGAGCTGCCAGAGACCAAGAAATACCGAGTCCAAGTCTCTGTCCAAGTTCAGACACTTTATCTGCACTTCCTCTGAAACTGAGCTACCCCCAGCAGCAGGAGAGGTCCACACACAAGAGCAGTAAATGAAGCTGGCGCTCAGGGGTGCAGGTGGACCGGCAGCGGGAACCATAGGGATGGGGTGTGAGTCCTGGCCGGCTGGGTACCGAGGCAGCACTCTCACCCCCTCACCCCTACGGTTCTTGTTCCCTGGCCAGTCACATGGGGAAGTAATCCCGACCCCAGAACTGCTGAGCGCAGACGCTGTAAAGGAAGAAAAAAAAATGCCTGGCACATAGTAGGAGCTTAATAAAGGTAACATTTCTGGAGTCAGCTCGGTGTGCCAGGCACTGTGCTAAGCGCTTGGCATGTATGAGCTCGGTCAGTCCTCACGGTGACCCTGCAGGAGAGTCCCCATCACGCCTTGGCTGGAGGCTCATGAGGCAGCTCTGCCGGAAGCCAGGCAGTCTGTCCCCAGCCCTGACATGTCATCGCTGACTTTTCACTGCCGTCCAGAAAATGGTGGGGTTTTGTTTCCCCGAATGGCACAGCACCATCCATGTGACTTGCCCCAGGAAAGGCTGACCCCCTCCCCAGGCTGCCACTGGGGGTCCTGCAGCAGCCCCTCACTAGACTCCCAAGATGGAGGGGCCTCTGCTCCCCCACTCAGGGCCCCTCCAGCTTCACGTGGAGCCGGGGATTGTAGGCCTGCCTGACCCTCCCGAGGCCCACAGTCCTCTACCACATCCTCTCGCGTCGGCTTCCGCCCCAGCCAGGGCACTGCCCGTGGGGACCTCTGGCCCATCTGTCCCCAACCCACCCTCCCACCCCTGCGGGGGACAAAGGCTTCAGAACCCTGGGGTCCTGCGGGCTGCGTCACTTCCAGCCCAGACCCGTTTGTGAACTCTACCCCTTGCACAAACACCCTGCTCCCAGGACACGGAAGCGGGCTGGGCACAGAGCCAATGTGCAGCCTTATGAGCCCGTTTAGGAGCAGGTTGAGGAGCTGGGCTTCCGCTCCTTTCCTTTACTGCTCTGTGACCTTGGGCAGGTCACTTAACCTCTCTGAGCCTCCATTATATAATACAATTATTATGGGGATTAAGTACAATAAAGTTCCAGGCACAAAGACAGATTGTAAAAAGTGGCTTCTATTGGTCGTTCAAGGTCATGCAAAGCTTATATAGAACTAGAGAAGGGGGAAGGGAACTGGGAGCCCTGAAGAAGGCACAAAGATGAACTAAGTATTTATGTAGGAGCTCCCAGACCAGGACATAGGTTTCTGCAGCTCAGCCCCTCAATGTCACTCTACTGTCACCAACACTCACCCCGCCAGCTTGAGGCCTGGGGACTACACAAGGTTTCTTTAGGCTCAGAAAGCCCATTTTAGCCCTGAGACCACTCTCTTCCCAGGAGGCAGTCCGGGCAGGTGTTTGGTTAGCCTGATGAGAGGCCCCGTCGAGTCTGTGCAAACAGTGCCCACATCCATTATGCTGTGACATACACACGTCCCCAGCCAGGGGACAGGGCCTGAAGGCCATCTCTGACCTAGGCACTTACCACAAGGAGGCCAGTCAAGAGAGACATTTAGACAACCATACACACACACACAGTCCCTGTGTCTGCTGGGCCGTTGGTGGAAGGAAACAGACCTGAAATGTGCAGGCACACTTTTACCGCATTATCAATGTTCCGGCCCTTTCCGGCCACCCAGCTACATCCCTGCCACTCACTGCAGACACCTTGCACAGGCTGTTCCCTGAAAGCTCCCCAGGCCACCTCCCAGAAAACTAGAAGTGGACCTCGGTTCTGTGGCCTCTGGCCCTGCCCTGTGACATGTGGCACCTTCTGCCTCTCCTGGGTGGGGGCAGGAGGAGGAGAGAGATGGGGCCAAGATGTCCCTCGAGCGCCAGTACAGATGCTAGGCTGGCCCTGGAGGTGACATCAGAGCCCCCCCACCCCACCCCTGCAGTCTGTACCCCCAGGGTTCTTGAATTCTCTCCCCCTACTGGTTCACATCGCATGCAGTGCAGGGAGACTGTGGCTCCACCCACAGCGTTCCACATGTAAGAGGCTGCAAGCCATGTACAGAGTCCCCCGTCATCAGAGGTAACCAAGCAGAAGCCACAGACTGGGAGCCCATTCCAGCTGTAATAGGACAACAGGCTCCTTGCACTGTGGTGCTCTGACCGGTCAAGTGCGAGGTGTCAGGATGTCCTTAGCCTCTCTCATCCCTCCCACAGGTACGACGCCGGCCGGGACGGCTTCATTGACCTGATGGAGCTGAAGCTGATGATGGAGAAGCTCGGAGCCCCGCAGACCCACCTGGGCCTGAAAAACATGATCAAGGAGGTGGACGAGGACTTTGACAGCAAGCTCAGCTTCCGGGAGGTGAGTTGGCTCCCCATGTGGGCAGCAGTGGGGGGCAGGGGGGCTGGTGCTTGACTTTTGAATGGCTCCTAGTTGGCCAAGGGAGGCTTCAGTGGGGATCCTAGAGCAGCCACCAGGGGGATTCTGCGGTGCCTGAAGTGAGAAGGAGGGACATCCATTCCCTCATGTAGTAAGCACTTATGGAGTGACTTCTGTATACCTGACCCTGGGGGGTGCGCTTTGGAAGTCCAGAGAAGGGCCTCGAAAGGCCTCCAGGCTCCGAGGGTCCTGGAGTGAGGCAGGGCGGGGGAGACCCAGGGAGTGGAATGGCAGGGTGCTGTGACACAGGAGAAGAGGGGGACAGACGGAGGAAGTGACCTGCGCTGCCGTCCGAGAGGGGCCAGGCTCTGCGCTGGGTGACTTCACACCCTGGATCTCACTCAGTTCTCACTCTAGGACAGGAGCCGTGGGCAAGCCTGTTCCCTGGAAGAGGAAGGGGAGGCTCACAGTCTGATAACAGGAGCACTGGACCCCAGGCACAGAGGCCCAGTGACAGGGGTGGCCTCCCTCGGAGAACTAGCAAGAGGCACAGAGGAGGCAGGGCAGGAGAACGGTGTCGGGGGACGAGTCCGGGAAGGAAGGTGCAGGCAGTGCAAGATGATGGTGCGGAGCCAGGACACGGGTTCAAACCCCTCTTCCGTCACTTTCTGCCGCTGAGATGTGGGGCAAGTGTTTTCCTTGCTCTCAGTCCTCCTCATTCTATAAATGGTCACAATCGCATACCTTTAGGACTCAGTAAATGGAACTTTTCAGTTGTTTGTTTATTTGGGGGGATGGGAGGAGAGAGAGAATCCCAAGCAGGCTCCGCATTATCAGCACCGAGCCCGATGCAGGGCTTGAATTCATGAATCACAAGATCATGACCTGAGCCCCCCAGGCGCCCCGTAGTAAATGGAACTTTTGAACAGATTCGATGGGGAACAGTGGAGACAAAGATACGAGGTAGGTTGGGGCCTCTTCGTGGGACCTGAACATAGACCGAGAGGCCTGCAGTAGCCCCAGATCCTGGGAGAGCAGCAGATGGGTCGCCTTGCCTCCCATTATACAGATGGGCAAACTGAGGCCCAGAGCTGGGAGGCAGAGAGCCCGGACCTCTGGCCTCTGGCCCCCTGCCCCTCCCTGACACCTCGTGCCGTTTTCCCTGCCGCAGTTCCTCCTGATTTTCCGCAAGGCGGCGGCCGGGGAGTTACAGGAGGACAGCGGGCTGCACGTGCTCGCCCGCCTCTCCGAGATCGACGTCTCCACTGAGGGCGTCAAGGGGGCCAAGAGCTTCTTCGAGGCCAAGGTGAGGAATCGGAGGCCGTGTGGGGCCCAGGGGGGCGGGGGCCCCTGACCCTGGCGCGAGCAGAGGCGGGGTGGCTGGGGTATGACGGGACCCTGAGTTAGCGCGAGGGTCGGTGCTCCTCCTTCCTGTCCCCGCTGAGGCTGCAGACAGGAGACAGGACGCGGACGCCTGGGCGGGGCCCGCAGCGCTCCTGGCTTCTGTCCCCTTCCACCCAGGCCGCGGTCCCTTCCAGCCTTTCCCCTCCCTCCCTGGCCCCCGGGCGGGCGACGGGCACCCACCTTCAGAGCGGGCGTGGACCCCTTTGGGCTGCCCCTGACCGACTAGTCCTTGAACGGGGGCCCAGGAGACAGCAGGGCAGGCCCAGCCCACGGGCCTCTCAGAGCCCCCGCCCCGCCAGCCCCGGCCTGGAGGGAGTGCGGGCCCCAGAGGCCACCCCCGCACACCGCACGCAACCCGTGCCACACACGCTCATGGGGAGGGAACCAGCAGAGCTCCTGGGTTCCGCCCCCCCCCACCCCTGCAGGGCACCTGCTTTTCCCGCTCTCTCTTCCCGTGTCAGCTAAGAACGTCCCTCCTGAAGGCCGCCCCCCACCCTGGGCTTCTGGGGTTGATGGGCTGTTTCATGGCTCATCACAGGCACCCGGTGTGCGCCTGGGCTTCTCGGGACAGGAAACGAGACAAGAATAGCGACATCCAAAGCCTCCCTCCCCCCCAGGACTCAGTCTAGGCAGCAGCCACCAGATGCACATCCAGGCTTCCCACCTGCTCAGCGAGTCCCTGAGATCAGTTATTGAGCACCAGGCTCAGAATGGAGAAACTGAGGCCCGGGGCCAGAGCTAGCGAGAGCTGCACATGGGCCGGCAGGAGACATGGGGGCCGATCCCTCCCCCGCCCTGACCCACCCTGTCCTCACGTGGTGGCAGGTCCAGGCCATCAACGTGTCCAGCCGCTTCGAGGAGGAGATCAAGGCGGAGCAGGAGGAAAGGAAGAAGCAGGCGGAGGAGATGAAGCAGCGGAAGGCGGCCTTCAAGGAGCTGCAGTCCACCTTCAAGTAGCGAGGGGCTGCGGCCTGACCGCTGGCCCCGGCACCCCCGGCGCCCGGTCTGGCCCGCAGGGGCAGCCGACCGGAGGCCAAGCCTGAATCCCGGGCTCTGTCTGAAGGGACCATACTTAAAACCTAAAAAGTCTGTGAACGGAGCCAGCGGAGGGGTGTCCGAGGCGGCCCTGTGCAACCCCCTCCTCCCCGCTCCCCTCCGCTGCTCCCGAGGCCGTGACCCCAGTGCTGGCTCCTTGCCTGGCCCAGCCCTCCCAGGCCATTCCTGCGTGTCTGTCACCCCCAGCTGCCCCTCTGCCTGCTCCGAGCCTGGCTCCCGGTCGTGGGGTGCTCCCTGCCCCGGGTGCCTGCCCTCCACCCGCTCTCCTCCCCTCTTCCCAGAGGCCCCCCCCCCCCCGCTCTTAACCTGCAGGCACACCGCTCCCGGGGCCCTTCAAGCCACTTCCTAGACTCGGGGAGGACAGGTAGCAAGAATCGGGCGGCTCCCACGCTGCCCAGAGCTCGACCTGATGGGCCGATCAGAGGCAGGAGGGCTCCCCCCCACCCCACCCCCCGACAGCTGTTCCCCAGCCCCTGCCTCCTCTCTGCCAGAGGGGAGGGCACTTCTCTTTCAGCGAAGGGACCCAGGCCCTGGCACCCCATGCTCGCCCAGCCAGGCGGGGTGAGGGGGCGGCTGTGCCCATCTACCTCACGGGCCCACACTCTGCTGGCCACGCCATGGATCGTGGGCAGGAAAGGCTCTGGGGGCAGAAACGCCATCCCCTAGTCCCCCTGGAACAGCCAGAGGGTCCCAGGGGCTCTGGAGAGAGCAGGGTGGGGAGGAGGGACTGGCCCCTTCACTGGGAGGGAGACTAGTGCTGGGGTCCCTTCTCCAGCAAGCGTCCAAGAAGTGCTTTAAGTGGTTTGCACGGACCCAGCAGCCAGGAGCAGGGGTCTCGTTTGACCCTTCCACGCCATCCTTCCCCAAGCGATGTGCACCACCTTGTCACCAGCGATGGGACCCGTCCCACCCACCCCCTGAGGAAGCATGGGGACCCCAGCCCTCCATGTGCCCATCCCCCGATGGGCTGCGGCCAAGCCTGGGCCACCAGCCCGGTCCTGCCCAGCCCCCGGTGCGCTCACTTCCGTGTGTGCGTGTCCGTGTGTGCGTGTCCGTGTCTGTTGCCGTGTCGTGAAACTGTGCCCGTCACCCAGTCCAAACAAGTGAACGGCCGTCGAGGCCACGGTTATGCAACTTTCGGTGTGTGTCATGACGTCACTGCTTTTTAAACACGATAACTCTTTATTTTGGTAAAATGCCTCTAAGAGTCCACAAAACCCCTGTTGGATTTGCAGAGGTTTTATTTTTTTGGCCTTAGAATCTGCAGAAATTAGGAGGTACTGACCCCAGTGCGGCAGCCTTGGCCCGGAATTGCGTTTGCCTTAGCGGATATGTTTATACAGATGAATATAAAAAGTTCTTTCTCTTTGGCTTCTCGCTTTTTTTTTCCCCTCCCTTCTCACCTTCCCCCAAAGAAAGCTACTTCTTCATTTGGTGGTACAATTATTTTTTTTAACTAAAATAAGATAAAATTCTATATTCTTATGCGTGTGTGGTTCTTGTTGGTCGGTGGAGGAGGGGAGGGGCTGGGAAGGCAGGGGACGATGTCACCCGGGTGCTGGGGCAGCACGTGCTCAGGTGGCCCCCGTGTCATGTCAGGGGCGGGGTGGGGGGGGGAGTCTTTCACCAGGGGCTGCTCTAAATGCTGTAGCTCATATATATATATACACATATATTTACTAATTTAATCCTCACAATGAGCCCATGAGGGAGTGCTGTTTTATTTCCCAGAGAGTCTCCCAGAGGCACCCAGGCTGGGGGGTTGGGGAGGGGGACAGGAGGCAGGTCGTCAGCCCACAGCCCGTCCCCTGCCTCCCCCACCCCCACAGTGCCCAGCCACCCTGCCGGGCAAATTCAAAGGAAGACCGGCACCAGGAATGGCACCAATACTGTGAGGGTCCTAGATGGGTGCACCTGAGAGCCCCCCCAAGATTCTCCAACACCCAGAGACACCCTGAATACACACGCACACACATGCACACACACTACAGGCTGCGGTGGTGGGTGATGAGGAAAGACCTGGGGTGCTCCCTGTGTGGCTTTGGACAGATCAGGCTCCCACTGGGTCTCAGTTTCCTCATCTGCTCAGTGTAAAGGTGGGCCAGGGTCTCTAGGGTCTTCCCAGCCTTGCAGTTTCCGGGTAGGGGTGCGACCTGACTTGGGGTGCAGGAGTGTGGGATTAGGCTGGGCATCGCTGCCCCCAGGTGGAGGTGGCTGGTACTGCAGCAGCCGGGATGCCATCCCTCCCCACTGGCTCCGTCACACGCCCTCCGCCAGGAGTACACTGTCGGAGTGTGTTTCCTGGCGAATGCCACCCAGTGCCTAAGATGCCACCATCATTACCACTGCATGTTAGGTTAAGCGTCGCCTCTCGATACTCCTTCGCCAGGGGAAGAACGTCAGAACTCCTAACATCCTAGCTCAGAGGGTCTTAGAACAGAAAGGCAGAGTGGACCCTGATAGGGAAAGGATGGAATTCAACCTCGCCTTCCAGTTGGCCCGGTGATGAACGTGGGCCTCGAGCCCTCAGAATGAGAGAGACACAGGCCAGCTGTCCCACACCAGGACCCTCTACCAACAGGGCTCCGCCAGGAGGGTCCCTCAGCCCCAGCAGACGGATCAGGCTGAGGAGAGAAGAGGCCCGGAGTGATGAGGACCCAAGAGTGGGAAAGGGAGATAGTTCCTTAATCCCCTCCCAGGCCCCACTCCCTCGGCCGCCATCACCAAACACGGAAACCCCGCAGTGACCCCCAGGCCCTCTCTGAACCCCTAGCACTTACATCTGGTTTTACGGAGAAGTGCTGCCAGCCCAACAGTGGCCCTCACCCAAGAAACAGCTGTCACCTGAGTCCTGTCCCAGCGACTAGAAAATAAGGGCCCCAGTCAGGGACACCTGCCTCGTTTCTCAGGCTCTCACCGCCCCCTTGCCCCCAACCTTGGCACAGCTTCTCCTGAGTACCCCCCCCCCATCTCCGGGACCTCAGCCACTGCCAGGTCACCCTTGATTATTTTTCCAGGACAGTCTGGCCTTAAGTGTCTGGGCCCTGGAAGGCCCCACTCCAGGCCCCGGAAACCACACAGACTTCAAGGGTGGTGAGAATGGGGAGTCCAACATTCTCACACCCTCAAGTCCTCAAGTTCATTTTGGACCTGGAATCTGTAGAGAAGGAACCCTCCTGCAATCTGTACCCCACCGAGCCCCCAGCCAGAACTAACCTCTTGTCGTTCAAGGCTCCCAGCCCTTGGCCAGAACATTCTGAGAAACACATCACCATGCCCAGCAGGGAGCTCCAGCCATTGTGAGGGGGTCTAATCTGCATCCCCAGGCCTACCAGATGTGGGCGGGAGGAAGGAAGGGATGGATGGATGGATGGATGGATGGATGGATGGATGGATGGATGGGTGGGTGGATGGATGGATGGATGGATGGATGGATGGATGGATGGATGGATGGATGGATGGATGGATGGATGGATGGATGGATGGATGGATGGATGGATGGATGGATGGATGGATGGATGGATGGATGGATGGATGGATGGATGGATGGATGGATGGATGGATGGATGGATGGATGGATGGATGGATGGATGGATGGATGGATGGATGGATGGATGGATGGATGGATGGATGGATGGATGGATGGATGGATGGATGGATGGATGGATGGATGGATGGATGGATGGATGGATGGATGGATGGATGGATGGATGGATGGATGGATGGATGGATGGATGGATGGATGGATGGATGGATGGATGGATGGATGGATGGATGGATGGATGGATGGATGGATGGATGGATGGATGGATGGATGGATGGATGGATGGATGGATGGATGGATGGATGGATGGATGGATGGATGGATGGATGGATGGATGGATGGATGGATGGATGGATGGATGGATGGATGGATGGATGGATGGATGGATGGATGGATGGATGGATGGATGGATGGATGGATGGATGGATGGTTGGGTGAATGGGTGGGTGGGTGGGTGGATGGATGGATGGATGGATGGATGGAAGTGTGGATGGATGGATGGATGGATGGATGGATGGATGGATGGATGGATGGATGGAAGTGTGGATGGATGGATGGGTGGATGGATGGATGGATGGCTTCCGTGTACACAGTGTGTCAGCACCTCACATTCTGGACAAACTATTTTATTTGTCAAGTATTTCATCAGGTTAATCCAGGAAATTCACTCCACCGAGCTCCCCTCTACAGATATGGACAACCCTCTCCCCACCACCCACCATGGAAGCTTCTGTATCTTCGGTTCCCAAGGCCAGAAAACCAGCTCAGCCAACCACATATCACCCCCGGAACTTCGGCAGTTGGGACCACAGGGGTAATGGCGCCCTCTGACCTCCAGGTCAGCAGAGGCTGGCAGTCCCACCTCGGCCCAGTCGCCCCAAGTGAGAACACAATTTTCTGCTACAGAATTAGCTGCTCCAGGACACAGCTAGAGGGACCTTCCAGGGTCCAGAGCAGGGTTCCCGTGATGATCCACAGAACATTCTCCATTCAGTTATGTATAACCTGATATGAGGAGGGGTCATGGCCAGGGCTGACTAGTCCATCTGCATGCTGGCCACAGTGCTAGAGCCCCACAATACACTTAGGGCTCACAAACATCTTTTGGTTTCTCATAAAATCAGTGGGAAAAGAACATATCCAACCCAGGCTTATATTATATTATACCAGCTTAGATTATATGAATCTTTATACCTATGCAGTCATAAAACATCCTTTTAAAATATTTTTTGATGGAGGAAGGGGCCCATGAAGGCCAAAGGGCCCAGTGATGTCCAGACTCCAGCTTTCTCGTAAGAACCAGCAAAAATGACAGCCAACACTTACACAGAGCTTGCCATAAAACTCCCTGCAAAAGCCCTAGGAAACAGAAAGCATTGTTTTACCCCCATTTTATCAATAAAGTCACAGAAGCACAGAGAGGTTGAGTCATTAACACAAGGTCACACAGCCAGGAAGCGATAGTTCTGGGTTTTTCTTCCTTTAGGAATATGATCCCATGGTAGGCCAAGCACTCAACATGGCATCTTCACCATCTGAGGCAGATTCAGGTGACCTCGGCTTCCTCCAAGTGCAGTTGTTGGTACCGCCTTACATAAAGGGCTCCCCTGGTAAAGGTCTCAAAACAAGGAAGTTCCCAGAGAGTTGATGGCGTCTACACCTTCCGAGCAGCCTGCACCTTCCCTCCATAAAAAGGTCAGTTTCGGGGCGCCTGGGGAGTTCAGTCGGTTAAGCGTCCGACTTGGGCTCAGGTCATGATCTCACAGTTCATGGGTTCGAGCCCCGTGTCGGGCTCTGTGTTGACAGCTCAGAGCCTGGAGCCTGCTTCAGATTCTGTGTCTCTGGCTCTCTCTGCCCTTCTCCTGTTTGCGCTCTCTCTCTCTCTCTCTCTCTCTCTCTCTCAAGAATAAATTAAAAAAAAAAAATTTAAAAGGTCAGTTTCACTGTGAACATTCCAAAAAAGAAGAAAACTCACGACTCTTCATCTGGTACCTCTACTTGTGCACCTGTGTGTTTGGGTTGTTTCTAGGTTTGCGTACACGTTTGAGCGTGTGGCACGTAGCTCCGCATGCGTCCATGTCTATAGCTGTGACGCTGGCAGGCGCGTATGGAGCAGCGTGTATGCGCGTGTGTCTGTCTGCCTGTCCCCGTGAGCTCGTGCAGCTGTGGGCGTATGCACGTCACTGAGGCTGTTGTGTCTCCAAGGGTCACAACCAGAAAACTCCCACACGTGGACGCCCAGGTCATCGTTTCTCCAGGCTGTTCAAGAGACACCAAGGCCCAGGGGCACCTGGGTGGCTTAGTCGGTTAAGCATCCGACTTTCACTTACGTCATGATCTCGCGGTTCGTGGGTTCGAGCCCCGCGTCGGGCTCTGTGCTGACTGCCAGCTCAGAGCCTGGAGCCTATTTCAGAGTCTGTGTCTCCCTCTCTCTCTGACCCTCCCCTGCTCACGCTGTCTCTCTCTCTCTCTCTCCTAGAAATAAAAATAAAAATATTTAAAAAATAAAAAAAAAAATAAAAAGAGACACCAAGGCCCAAAGAGCTTCCCCAAGACCCAGGGCCATCCGGCAAGTCAGCAACTGAGCCAGAAGCCAGCAGTCTTATTTCCTGACACTCCCAGGATCTGCCCGGAAGCTCGGGCCTCATCCCCCCCAATACCATGTCGGTCTGCAGGCCAGGCCTACCCTTTGCAGAGCTCGGGTCTGCCCCGAGGTGTATCAGCCACTGACCCGGCTGTCAGGACCGGCCACAGAAAGTTTCCCGCAGCTGGAAGTCCCCAACATGGCTGGAAAGACCCTGATCCATAACCTTACATTCCCCATCTTTAGGTCTCTCTTTTTAT